AAAATGGGGTCAATGGGAGGATCCTTGAATTATTGATTTGATTATATTTGCTTTGATTTAGATTTATGGAAAGAATTTCGGCAAATATGCGAATTAAATATGGTTATTGACAGAAGTAAAATCGAATATTAATATAAATGTTGATAGGACATTGGAAATTGATAAATATTAATGTATATTTCGATAGGAAGATATGTTTAATTTATTTGTTAATTTATTGAATGTTGAATGTGGTTGGTGTTTTATTCGACAATAAAGAAAATGATAAGAAGGATAAAGGCAAGGTCATGATCGCTTAGAAAATTACATAATTTTATAGAATGAGTAAAAACAAATATTTATGTAGGCTTGGATAATAGAAATTCGGCTAAAATAACGATATATTGATTAAGGGATTATAGAATAAATAGGTTTTAGTAAATTTTCGGTTCGATTGTAAGTTGAATATGTAATTGAATTTTCGATTTGATTCGATTATAGATTTTGTTAATTCGATTTATGGTTCATTTCGATTTTATAATATATAAATATAGAAGCAAATGAAAGAATATTTAAAAAAAAATTATATGAAATGATATTTTTAATTTTTAAATAATATATTGAAAAATAAATAAAGAAAACAAATGAAAAGGATTGATAAGATATAAAAAAGAGAAGATTATATTAATATGGAAAAGAAAAAGAAATGGATATGGATAGATAGGAAAATAATGGGCATATATATTTAATTTATATTATTTAAGTAAGATATAAAAGAATATTATATGATGAAAATATTGATTTATATTAATTAATAATAAATATTTGATTATTATATTGAAATTTAAATATTTTTGATGAACGAAAAATAAATGTTTTGGTGATTAGTTTTGGAATAGAATGGAATATATATTATATGTTCGATTTGATTATTTTTGAAATATTGATAATTTAATGTTTATTAATTTACGATTTAAACAAATTAATTTCGAATTAATTCGGAATATTTTTTTGTATGAAATTTTGATTATGGATGATATATGATTTTATATTTGTTAATTATATTTTTAAAAGATATATAATGATTATTTAGAATAAATCTATTTATAGATTAATTAATATCAAAGGATTTTATAATGATAATGATTTTTAAATGATCTAAAGAATTAAATTAATATATTAATTAAATATCGATAATTTATCTTTTAATGTTCGATTATTACAATCATTCCATATTCTCCATTAATTCCACCCAATATATGCAATTATTTTAAATAATAAAATCTAGATGCATATATTTTATTAAACAAAAATATTATTGCAGAATCAAATTTATATTTAGAAATAATAATTTTTTTAATTAATAAATTACATTACAAATTTGAAATATAAAATCTAAATATATTAATTTGGGTAAAATCATTATTATCTAATTTCGTCAATATTTTTAATAAATTCAAAAGGAAGATTTGCCTTTTTTTTCGCACCATGAATTGATTACTATATTTTTGGAATCTAATATTATATATGGATGATTGAACGATATCTTGCCTTTTCCTATTAAGGCAATCATGATCGCCTTATTAAAAGATATATTTGATATATTCTATTGAAATTAATGATCATGAAAATATATTGATTATATTTATATATTATTAAATACCTTCAATTCATAGATATATAAATTGATCGAATCATAATATTATTAAGAATTTCATATATAGATTCATTCATACATATTAAATTCTATATCTTTAAATTAATATATATATATCTATATCTATATACAAAAATATTTATCCAATTCGATATCGAATTCAATAATAATTCAATTTTTTGTCGAATCATTATTATCAAATATATATTGTCTTGAATGATATAATCCATAGAAATGATATTTTCTAGAGCATTATTCTGATTATCATTTAAATATCAATATATATATATAATATTTAATTCATTAATAATTCTATATTGGATGAAATATTTCCTTATAATTAATTTTGATTATATATGCAACCCTTATGCAATCAATTTGAATATTTCTTAAAAAATCGTCGATATATATTAAAAATCATCCTATATAAATAAAGATATCGATCTTTCTAGAAATATATCAATATATTCATAAATAATTAGAATGTTTCGATATAGGGGGCTGCTAAATCTGTGGTCCCAATTGATCCAATTGAATAGGGTGCCCTAATTGACCCAATTGGCCCGATTGGTCAAATTGACCCATTTGATCTCAATTGGGTCCAGATATTTAACGTGGCCGCCTGATCAAATCGACCATCGCGACCAATACCACTGCTACTACTATGCGTCAATTGGGCAAATATTGGGTCTGCAGATTTAGCGTATCCGCCTGGTCAATTCGATCACCACGATAATTGTTTCTATTGTTACGTGTCAAATGGGTCCATTGGGGTTAATTGGGGTCAATTGGCATTTGGACATGGGATCAATTGGATGATCTGGATCAATTTGGATCAACGGGCCAATTGGGATCAATTGGGTCCATTGCTATTACTAGGTTGTTGTCTGAATTGGATCAAGAAAAATCATCAATCAATCTCAATATGGGATTCCTAGTGTGGAATGAAATTTCTATGTGTCAGATTATGTTTGTTTTTTTCATAATTCACTATTATTATCTATATGTTTATTTTCTATTGAAATTCTGATGGAGGCAATGTCTCAATTGATTCAGGAAAAATCGTCAACCAATCTCAATACGGGACACCTGGCGTTAAGCTTGGTTTCCCATGGTTAGACTATGTATTTCTATGTGCCAATGTTTTTTACGCGGCCATGATCGATTCGATGGAAGAAGGAATCCTAACCAAGCTTAATACAAGATGTCCAAGCTTAATACAAGATGTCTGATTTGGATCTTGGTTTCACATAACCAAATCGTTTGTTCATAGATAATCGATAGGTCTAATTCTAATATTATCTCTTAATTCGCAAGAAGAAATGGTCCCCAAATGTTGATTTCTGAAATGGATCAAATTGGATCAACCGAGGTTGTGATGAAATTCCTTTTCGAATGTTGAATAAATTTCCGAATTAAATTCTATACGAAATATATAATATTAATGGTGATTTCCATTGATTAAATTATATCTTTATAATTCCATATTTCCACAGATGAGGATGGTTCTCAAATTCCAGAATTCTATGGATAAATTAATTTAATTGTCTATGATTTAATGAATAGCCTGACGATCGAATATATAATACCTAATCCCTACTTTAGAATTAGAAAAGATCCACAAATCGACCACGGGATCCTCCCAGAAATCGAATTCTAACTAACTCTAATTCGAACCTGCAAAAGATCCTCACAGAAGAAAAATATTTCCAAATCCGTAATAATTCGCACGAAAAGATAATTGGTGATTGAACCTTCCCCTGTCTAAAATATCCAAATTATCGTTACAATTCCAAATTTAATTCCGCGCATACAATTCGTTAGCCATTCTTTTAATAATCGTCTATTTATGCAATAGTTACGCCTATTTCATATAGGGGGTATCCAATAAAAATATAAAATCGATAAATTAAATAGAAAAAATTTTGCCCAAATTCAACACGGAAATCCTAATATAATTAATATTTATTTTATACCTAACATTAATATAAATTTATCTTCAATCGAATATATTCAATATTATAATCCTTATCAAATCTTAAACCCAACAAAACCAAATTAATACGTAAATAATACTATAACAATAATCATAATAAATTCAATTAATTCAATAATTAATAAATCTAAACCTAATTCTTTATCTTTTTTGTAATTATTAATTATATACATCATACAAAATATTTATATAAATAATTAAATATTAATAATATAAATTTTAATAAATTATTTAATATAAAATTTAATACATTAGTTGTAATTAATTGATATAAATAAATATATATATATAGAATAATTTCCAATTCCAAATATATGAATTAATATATCGTTATATAGATATATTCATTATAATATCAACCCCGGATTAATTTGTCCCCCCCCCCCGTAGAAGGTCAACAAGGTCAAGAAGGTATGAGATACCATTCATAAGGTCCACTCCCCCTAAATTATCGGCTCAGGGAGCATCGTAGTCGCAGCCGTCCTCGGTAGTAGGTAGTAGGTAGTAGTAGTAGGTAGTAGTAGATAGTAGTAGGTAGTAGTAGATAGTAGTAGGTAGTAATAGGTAGTAGTAGGTAGTAGGTAGTAGTAGGTAGTAGTAGGTAGTAGGTGGTAGTAGGTAGTAGTAGGTAGTAGGTAGTAGTAGGTAGTAGGTAGTAGTAGGTAGTAGTAGTCACAACAAGTTTAAACAAGCACAAAGAAAAGGCCAGGGACACAGGATCAAATTAATAGGAGGTGGTAGTGCAGATTATTGATGGGGTACCGGCCCTTGTAAGGGGTACCCTTTGTGAGCTTGTCAAATGATTGTTCTTAATTGTGGCAATTTATAGGCCCTGAGCCCTAGACATTTTTAAGGATTTCATCAAACATGTAGTAGGTAGTAGGTGATGATGGTGGTGGTGGTGGCAGTAGCAGTAGCAGTAGCAGTAGCAGTAGCAGTAGCAGTAGCAGT